GCAGCTTTGATGTTCTCTCGGTAAATGTTGTGTTGTGTTGTGTTGTGTTGTGTTGTGTTGTGTTGTGTGTTGTGTTGTGTTGTGTTGTGTTGTGTTGTGTTGTGTGTTGTGTTGTGTTGTGTTGTGTTGTGTTGTGTTGTGTGTTGTGTTGTGTTGTGTTGTGTTGTGTTGTGTTGTGTGTTGTGTTGTGTTGTGTTGTGTTGTGTTGTGTTGTGTGTTGTGTTGTGTTGTGTTGTGTTGTGTTGTGTTGTGTGTTGTGTTGTGTTGTGTTGTGTTGTGTTGTGTTGTGTGTTGTGTTGTGTTGTGTTGTGTTGTGTTGTGTTGTGTGTTGTGTTGTGTTGTGTTGTGTTGTGTTGTGTTGTGTGTTGTGTTGTGTTGTGTTGTGTTGTGTTGTGTTGTGTGTTGTGTTGTGTTGTGTTGTGTTGTGTTGTGTTGTGTGTTGTGTTGTGTTGTGTTGTGTTGTGTTGTGTTGTGTGTTGTGTTGTGTTGTGTTGTGTTGTGTTGTGTTGTGTGTTGTGTTGTGTTGTGTTGTGTTGTGTTGTGTTGTGTGTTGTGTTGTGTTGTGTTGTGTTGTGTTGTGTTGTGTGTTGTGTTGTGTTGTGTTGTGTTGTGTTGTGTTGTGTGTTGTGTTGTGTTGTGTTGTGTTGTGTTGTGTTGTGTGTTGTGTTGTGTTGTGTTGTGTTGTGTTGTGTTGTGTGTTGTGTTGTGTTGTGTTGTGTTGTGTTGTGTTGTGTGTTGTGTTGTGTTGTGTTGTGTTGTGTTGTGTTGTGTGTTGTGTTGTGTTGTGTTGTGTTGTGTTGTGTTGTGTGTTGTGTTGTGTTGTGTTGTGTTGTGTTGTGTTGTGTGTTGTGTTGTGTTGTGTTGTGTTGTGTTGTGTTGTGTGTTGTGTTGTGTTGTGTTGTGTTGTGTTGTGTTGTGTGTTGTGTTGTGTTGTGTTGTGTTGTGTTGTGTTGTGTGTTGTGTTGTGTTGTGTTGTGTTGTGTTGTGTTGTGTGTTGTGTTGTGTTGTGTTGTGTTGTGTTGTGTTGTGTGTTGTGTTGTGTTGTGTTGTGTTGTGTTGTGTTGTGTGTTGTGTTGTGTTGTGTTGTGTTGTGTTGTGTTGTGTGTTGTGTTGTGTTGTGTTGTGTTGTGTTGTGTTGTGTGTTGTGTTGTGTTGTGTTGTGTTGTGTTGTGTTGTGTGTTGTGTTGTGTTGTGTTGTGTTGTGTTGTGTTGTGTGTTGTGTTGTGTTGTGTTGTGTTGTGTTGTGTTGTGTGTTGTGTTGTGTTGTGTTGTGTTGTGTTGTGTTGTGTGTTGTGTTGTGTTGTGTTGTGTTGTGTTGTGTTGTGTGTTGTGTTGTGTTGTGTTGTGTTGTGTTGTGTTGTGTGTTGTGTTGTGTTGTGTTGTGTTGTGTTGTGTTGTGTGTTGTGTTGTGTTGTGTTGTGTTGTGTTGTGTTGTGTGTTGTGTTGTGTTGTGTTGTGTTGTGTTGTGTTGTGTGTTGTGTTGTGTTGTGTTGTGTTGTGTTGTGTTGTGTGTTGTGTTGTGTTGTGTTGTGTTGTGTTGTGTTGTGTGTTGTGTTGTGTTGTGTTGTGTTGTGTTGTGTTGTGTGTTGTGTTGTGTTGTGTTGTGTTGTGTTGTGTTGTGTGTTGTGTTGTGTTGTGTTGTGTTGTGTTGTGTTGTGTGTTGTGTTGTGTTGTGTTGTGTTGTGTTGTGTTGTGTGTTGTGTTGTGTTGTGTTGTGTTGTGTTGTGTTGTGTGTTGTGTTGTGTTGTGTTGTGTTGTGTTGTGTTGTGTGTTGTGTTGTGTTGTGTTGTGTTGTGTTGTGTTGTGTGTTGTGTTGTGTTGTGTTGTGTTGTGTTGTGTTGTGTGTTGTGTTGTGTTGTGTTGTGTTGTGTTGTGTTGTGTGTTGTGTTGTGTTGTGTTGTGTTGTGTTGTGTTGTGTGTTGTGTTGTGTTGTGTTGTGTTGTGTTGTGTTGTGTGTTGTGTTGTGTTGTGTTGTGTTGTGTTGTGTTGTGTTGTGTTGTGTTGTGTTGTGTTGTGTTGTGTTGTGTTGTGTTGTGTTGTGGCATGATGGGAATACTCTAGAGACATAAAAATGGAACTTAAAAAAATTAGTATATGCTAGAATCCCTCAAAACGTTTTAGATAGTCCACAACCATTTCTCTCATTTCTCTCTACAATTGTAGTTGTTAGTACATGGGATACCTGAGCAGTTGTTTACTTCAAAAATTCGAGTTTTGATGTTAAGGTTAGATTTGTAAAGGCTAAGTCTGTTATTGTCACAACACTTTCAGTCATTATTAGTAAAATTAGCGATTAACAAAGGCAGTCAATTGATGCTCACAGAGGGTTGCAAACAGCCACGGTACCGTGGTTACACGAAAGGTGGGTAAAGTTATCCACGTTGAAGTTAATGCACTTACTAGTTCTTGCATGGACTTTATTCACTGAATAAGATTAATCTTGGATTTTTCAGAGCAGCATTTCAACTCCTATGTGAAGCGTAAGTTTTTGGGGCGTACTGCATGTTTAGGGGAAGAAGGTCACAAAACACAACAGTGTATCAGTGAATTATGCAAATGTATTGTAAGTGATCGAATTAAACTCAATAACAAACTCGTCAATCGCGGCAACCATTGATGTCTGAAATGTTTTGATCTTTGTTGGTAACAACAGCGAGAGTGGTCATCCACGCAACTCGACACGCGTGAGCGGAAGCCATCGAGAGTTTTTTAAAAATGAAAGTAAACAGTTCTGGGAATTTATCGCCAATTCTAGATTCATCGAATCAACACGCCTCGAACTCTCTACTCTGTGGAAACTATGCCTTGGTATCAACTTAAGATGGGATGCCCTGTTGCAAACTGTGAAAACCAGTAAGTACGAGTGTATTTTCTATGAAAATTGAAATAAGCAAAGTTTTTTTTAAGATAGTTTGCTTGATAATGTATATCTCGTTGAAAGAAAACGCGAGTAACCTTTTAAAACGACGACAAGCAGCAGCAAGCAAAGATTTCTATAGTGAAATCCATTGATCACTTTGAGAAATACTCTAGATAGAGTCTCCATCAAAAATGGATTCTATTTTCATAGAGATGGGATAAACCACTAACCCAGCTTCTACGAGAAAATTGTTGTTTTCAATTTAAGTACATCTGCTCCAAAGAAAAGGAAACAGTTTAATTAGTTTTTTTTTTTTTTGATAATAAATAATATATAATAATAAAGAATCATATTTAAGTCTCAAAAAATTTTCATCGGAAGTAAGGCTGTCCACAAGTTGCTCGGCAACTTTTGGGCAACTTTTTGAATTTCGAGCAACTTTTTCACTTTCGAGCAACTTAGAGCAACTTTTGATCTTTTTAGCATGTTTTGTTCTTTTTCTGACTTTTTCAGGGTTTAATCCACGTAATCTATTAAAAAAGAGTAAACTTTGTATTTTCAATACTCGTTTCATTTGTAAACAAAATGGCGGACGGAGTTGAACGCTCCAGTGATTCAGATTCATTCAGATTCAGGACAATTGAGACAATTGATTAAACCGTCTAATCGATTAAAAAAAATAAACCTTATGTTTAGCAACTTTTTGGCAACTTTTTTATTTTTGAGCAACTTTTTGATTTTTTTAGCAACTTTTGGGCAGCTTTTTGGACTTTTTAGGGCAACTTTTTGAACTTTTTGGAGCAACTTGTGGACAGCCCTAATCGGAAGAATACTGCGCTTGTTCGGTCCGTTGTCATGGCACGTTTCTATAGCGGTCATGATCCCACTATTCCCTTTGTGTGTTTGTTAACTTGTTTTATTGCTTTTTCATTAGTCGTCACAATTATTGCAAATGTCATAAAAGTGCGTTAAAAACCTTAAATTGATTCCCCATCTAAGGCTTTACCAGCTGTGTTTTCCATGTGTAATGCACTAGTCAATTGAAATCCCCGCTCCCCGACCCCCGGGGATTACCGGGGAATTTAACGTTTGAGTGGTGTTAAAATAAGACATTTTCCCCGGTAGTCGGGCCACATTCATTGTTAAAATCCCCGCTACTGTTGCCCCGTTATTTTGGTCTAGTAGCAAATAACAAAACAAACACCTTTCAATCAAATTTTCTGTGATACACAGGGTTAATTTTTGTATAATCCTGTGTACTCATTTGCGTACTATACATGTGGCTAACTGGACGGAGAAAAACATGTGTAATAAGTTTCTTTTAAATATTTTTCATGCAAGGAAAAATAAACAAATAAAAAAGCGGGGTTGAATACCAATGCCTTCAGGGTATTTCTCAAGATGGCTGACCTCTAGTTTCCAACCTTATGCATGTTCAAACGCGCGTTAAAATCCCCGCTCTTTGCCCCACTTCGACAGCAATTCATCAAAATCCCGACCCCCGGGGCAATGTTGCTGTTAAAAGCACGTTCAAAACGCGTCACGTCCCCGTTCAGTTCCCCGCTAGCCCCGGGGGGCGGGGGGTGGGGGTTTCAATGACTAGTGCATAACAGAACCTTGATCAAGTGTGATTCGTATGTCGCGTACTTCACTGACATCCCGAATACGAAGTACAACCATATTTGAGTGTTTTGGCGTTCATTTGCAATATTAAACTAACGATAGCTTTTTATCAGGCAGAAATTGCTTAGTTGGGTTTGCTCTGAGGACCAAGACGACATGTTTGTCTGTGAACAAGGTCGGCTTTCCTGCAGAACAAAAGCTCATGATGACTCTATCATCAACTGGAAATTCGACTGCGGTAGTCGTGATGGACCACACAGAAATATCCACTTCCATAGCCCAGACTTCGCAGGGTTTGCTCATGCCATAGCTATTGGAGTTCCTCTACTTTCCGAGGCAGGAGCAAAGTGGCTTTCCACTCTTATGACAAATATAGAGAAGCAGTTTAAACCCGATGCGTAAAACTGACTTTACATGCAGTACGTCACAACATTGAAAACTAGCGAAATTTTCACGCCAACAAGTATAGCATACTAAATCCCTCACTGGAACACAGTTTGATCTATGGTTTTGTAAAAGCTTTAGCTTATAGTACACAGTTTTAATTTCAGGCAAACATTAGGATGAGACGATTTTAATTAAAAAGAAATTATTAAAATAAAGTAGATC